TCGCACTGGCGCACCAGCGCGGCGCGCAGCCCCGGTTCCCACCCGCACCTTTCCCTCCACACCTCCACACCTCTCCACAAGCAGAGGAAGGCGGCTTCCGCCTCAGCCAGCCCAGAGAGGGGCTCCCACGGTGCCCTGGCGGGCTGAAGGGCCGCTTAAGTGCTGCCAGAGTGGATGCTGAGGCCGAGGAGGCACTGAGAGTGAGGGCTGCTAGCACACTGTCACCTCTCAGTTTTGTTTTGCGTTTTCCTAATGAATAATTCAGTGGCTCCTTCTTTTGGTTCCCAAGATAAAATACAAACTCCTTAACCTGACCTTAGCTCTTGTGTAACCCAGCCCTGTCTGCCACTCTCTCTATTCCAGTCACTCTGTCCTTCCGGCTGTCAGTTCAGCTGCCTTTGGCTACATGTAACAAAATTCATACAGGAGTGCCATCAGCAAGTGGTAGTTTATTTGGCTCAATAAAGAAGTGTGGCAGTGTGTAGCTGCCAGCATGGGTTCAGCAGCTGGTAGATTTTAGGAGTGGTGTCTTTGTGATTCTTTAGGCCTTTACCTTGTATTTTCTGCCTTACATTTTCAAGACGGCTAGGGTTAGAAAGCTTATGTTTAAAGGAGAAAAATCAAGGAGGGGGCAGGCAAAGATTTCCTTGTGCCCCCTCCTCCAGTAAGCTATTTGTAGTATTGGCCAGAACCTTGTCACATGGTTACTTCTAGTTGCAAGAGAAGCTGGGACAGTTGGATGTGCTGCCCGAGGCTGAGCATGTTGCCACCCTCAACATAACCAGGGTTTGTTCTCAAGGCAGGAAGGATGCCTGTCGAGGAAACAACGGGCCAGCCTGTGAGGCAGATCCTGTGTTCTTTGTGGACGTGTCCTCCTGCCTGTCTTAGCTGGGGCCTTCTTACCCATCAGTTCAGTATTGCTTCCCTGGGGGAGGATGGTTTCCAGGGCCCCTTAGGCCTGCCTCCTATGTTCTTGCTGTCAGCACTCACTTCTGTCCCCTTCTTGCATGTGCCACAATTGATATGTTTGTGACTGTCAAATGCCCCCCTCTCTCTGTGGATGGTAAACTCCATGAAGACAGGGACTACTGCTCTGTCATCTCCCACTGTGTACCCGTACCTAGCAGCATACCGAGCCAGGAGGAGGTACTCTGTTGATATTTGTTCAATGAAAGACCAAACAAAAGGAACAGAGAAACCTGATTTTTTTTTTTTTGATGGTAACTACTCTGGGGCTTGTTGAGTGCAATGAAAACAGCAGGGTGGTTTTAGCTAATTTCAGGTTTTTGTAGGAAGTGTGGCCAAAATATTGGTTAATAATGATTTGGGGGAAATACATTGTTATTCCTTGTATCTTCCTGAAATTGACTGTGTTCTTCTGGCAAGTGATGAAATGTACCCATCTCGGAATGTCCTCCCACATAGTCTCATACTTTTCTGGGGCTTCCCTTACTCCTTACCTCCTTTTTAGGAATAGTTATAGGAAGAAATTGAGGCTGTGGTTATCTCTTGGATCCTTAATAGAATCTTTTAGGTAGAAAATTATCCTCAGTCCAATTTGCAGTAGAAATGTACTTTCTGTTCCTTCTGGTGCATGGGTCCGTTCACTTGGTCTGTGCAGATTTAACTACTGTGAGTTGTTACATTGTGGAAAACGAAAATCGTGTGCCTGTGATTGGGCCGTTGCATGGATCAGGTCATTGGTAAGAAGCCTTCATAGGCAGTGAAAACGATGCCTGCCCAGTATTTCTGATCCCATTATTGCAGATCTGCGATATGTTTGAGTTTTCACATGCAAAGAGCTGCCACTCGATTTCAGATGTCGAAATTGCTCAGTGTAATAGATGCCATTCTCTGAAAATTACTTTTGATTTCCTGTCTGTAGGTGTGTACAAAGTGACCCCTCGCTCCTGCCACCGGTTTGAGCAAGCGTTCTACACCTATGACACGTAAGCCTGGGAATTGAATGCTTTGTGGTGTTTGTGTACATTCCATGGAGGATTCTTCATTTACTTCAGAGAACCGAAGGAGTTTTTAAGTTTTTTTCTGAAAGAGGCAAGGTTAGGCCTTCAACAGAATTTCCAGATAAGAATTTTAAGACACTTGGATTAGTTACTGAGGAACCAGAGATAGGATCCCTTTCCCAAGAATTCTGTAACCCCAGGACAGAGGACTGTGTTTTTGAAGTGGCTTAAATAGAAGCATTGTCAAATCTCCCAGCCCTCCCTGATGAGCATCTGTCAAACTCAAGTCTGCCATTTTTATATTTTTACAGACGTGTGTGGGTTTCACTGGGAATTAGAAGTGTAAAGTTTTGGAGTGGAGAATTAGTTTACTCTTTAAAATACTTCTCTGGATCTCCAGAGTTATTTTGCCCCAGTCTGAGAGCAATTTTCTGTTGTATATTTAGGATGGGGAAGGATGCCCAAAAAGGGTATTGCTGATGATCTTCTGAGAATGAGCAGAGTCTAGTGTTTCCTCTCCTTTGATTTGTAGGTCTTCACCTAGTATCTTGACATTGACAGCCATTCGCCACCATGTCCTTGGAACTATCACCACCGACAAAATGATGGATGTCACTGTGACTATCAAGTAAGACGAGCGTTGTGCCACGGTGGGCTAAGAGTGGCAGGGGAGGGTGTGGATGAGGCCTAGGGAGTCTCTAATAGACTCTCTGGAAATTAGTTTTGATTTCTTATCTCTAGACATAGATACAAATGGCCTTCCCTCTCGTATAGGACATTGCTGTCAATTCCCAGCATGCTTGATCCTTTCTTTTCTGATTCAGAAATTGCCTGTGGGTGAGGAAGAGCGTTGCGACAGCTTGTTTCATTGTCTTCAGTTTCTGTTTGAACTCTTTGTACTTCTCGTCTTTCCTAAGGAAAAAAAATCTCTGCGGTTTGTGCATTGTGTTTCAAGTGTTTTAGCAAATTTGAAAAAAAATTGCCTATTTTTCTTTAGACTTTTGCTTGAAGGCTTGGGAAATAGAGATGGCACCTGGTATAAGAAGGGTCATGAGAGAGGAAGTATTTGAAAGGCAAGTCCCTCACCGAGGGTCACGTTCATGTGAGTGTCGCCTTTCAGGGAAATTTTTGCAGTGTGGTAACGTACCTGTGACACCCCAATTTTCTTGAGAAATGAAAGAGTTTTGGCAACATGACCGTCTCTGTCAAGTAGAATGGGAATTGGAGTCACTGTCTCCCCAGCTGCCCCTGGTGGAAGTCGCCTTTCCAGCTATGTTTCCATGTTTCTGTCCACCATCTGTTTATCCATCCATCATCTCTGCAGAGCACATGATGACTGAATGAGAATCTTCGGTGTTTAGGCACTGGGCTTATGAGGCCACAGCCCCTACACTCATGGGATTGACGGTCTCCTCGGGGGAACAGTGGTCAGAGACGCACATGCAGAACTGTAAAATGACAGCTATGCTGAGTGCTTTGAGCTTGACCTTGGGGGCATGCAGGACAGGTAGGCTGCTGGGGGCCAGGCCGTGTTAAGGTCCTTCGTCTCTGTCCTATGATGCAATTGACGTGTTTTACGTAGAGGAATGACTTTTCTTCCTGAAAAGTCCCCCTGTTGGCTGAGTGGAGAACAGACAGAAGAGGCCTGAGAGTGGGAGGTGGTGGAGGCAGGGAGAGGTGATGGGGGCCCCAGACTGGTGGCTGCAGAGGTGGAGAGCGACGGACTGGTCGGAGAGTTGTTGACAGACCGAGTTGATGAGACATGGCGCTAAAGTGACCGCTGGGTCAGGGCGGGAGAAATGTCAGGGCTAGCCCTGGTTTTGGGTGATGGGGAGCCAGGTTTTTAGCTGGGGGTGGGTTTGCTGAGGGTCTATTGTGTGCCCAGAAGGCGCCTGTTGCTGTCTTTTCCTGTCGTTTACTGTCTTCCTGCTTGGAAAGTATGAATTACTGATAGGACTAGCAATCTACCTTCTTACCAGTAGTAACTCCATATTACCTCCTTTCAGCTTGATTACATTCATTTTTGTAACTTTACAAGGGTGTTTGTGTTGCTTGCTTGTGCCGGAGGTTGTAATAAATGCATCTTCCAGCTAGACAGACACTCGGAATCCCCCTGGGGATCTTGTATTTAGCAGACCCAAAACCTGACTGCTGACAGTTGCCCTCCACAGAGCCCCTCTGTGGTCTTTTCTGATTCAGAGATGGCAGCTCTCGCTTTCTCGTTGTTTCTTGATTCTTCTTTGCCTTGCACTCTAGGCCCAGCCAATTCCTCAACAAAGCCTTGGCTTTACAGTCAAAATACACCCGTCATCTAGTCCCTTCTTACCACGTGGCCCTCAGCCCTGGTCTGACCCCCTCTGGGGGTCACTGCAGCAGCTTCCCAGCTGGCCTTCCCTTCTTACCACGTGACCCTCAGCCCTGATCTGACCCCCTCTGGGATCACTACAGCAGCTTCCCAGCTGGCCTTCCCTTCTTACCACGTGGCCCTCAGCCCTGGTGTGACCCCCTCTGAGATCACTGCAGCAGCTTTCCAGCTGGCCTTCCTGTTTCCGCCATTGCTTTGTGTGTTTCCTGTGAAGCAGCAAGCGATTTCTTTTATGGCAGAGATCATACCATTCCTCGACTGAAAACTCCAGTGGCTCCAGGTTGGCACCAAGCCTGTGAAGCCTCAGTCTGACCCCTGCTGCCCCTTGGACCTCTCTGATGGATATGACTTTTCCGTGGGCCCCTGTGCCCCAGGCTGGGCTGGTCTTGCCATTGCTCGAACATCTGAGTGAGCTTTCTCTCCAAGGGCTTTGCATTTGGCATCGCTTTGCCCGAGCTACTGTTTACCCAGAGAGCTGCATGGCACGTTCTCTCCCTTCCTTCAGACCTTTGCTCAATGTTCAGACCTTTGCTCAATGTCACCTTATCAGAAAGGTCTTGACTGTTCCTTTAATGTGAAACAGTGCTCCGGGCTCTCTGTCTTCCCACACTGCTTTATTTTTCTTTATTGCACTTTTCCTCTGGTACTATTTTTCTGTTTATTTTCTGCCCCTTCCCACTGAAATGTGGATTCCACAGAGGTAGGAAGTATGGTCTGTTTTGTCGATGCTGGATCCCTGGTGCTTAGTTCTCTATCAGAGCAGTTCTCAGTGAAGATAGAATGAAGGAACGGAAGATGGTGGCATGGAGAAAACTCCATGTCCTACATGGAAACTGACAAGTTTATATCCAGTTGCCATAAAATCAACGATATTTCATTTCCAGCCCAGATCTACCAGATACTGCCACCATCACTGCGAAGCTCAATTGTTATTTTTTGTGAAACTACTAGTTTATTTAAAACTGAAGACTCGGCCACTGTGGTGTCATGATAAGGTGTCTAGTTTTTAAGTCGCAAGTCCATACTTGTAGAAAGGTCAAATTCCCACTGATGACAGAGATACGCAACTGTGTCCTAGGGGCCACCATTTCTTTCTTCCAGGTCTTCCATCGACAGTGAACCCGCCTTGGTCTTAGGCCCTCTGAAGTCTGTGCAGGAGCTGCGGAGGGAGCAGCAACTGGCTGAGATCGAGGCCCGCAGGCAGGAGAGGGAGAAGAACGGCAAAGAGGAAGGCGAAGAAAGAGTGACCAAGCCTCCCGTGCAGGAGATGGTAGATGAGTTACAAGGCCCCTTCTTGTATGATTTCTCTTACTGGGCACGGTAAGCCGTCTTGTGCATTTCCCTACAGTGTCCTCTGTTCTAGGGGGACAGGACCCGCCAAACTGAAGTGTATTAATTATTTTAGGTCTGGAGAGAAAATCACCGTTACACCATCATCTAAAGAGCTGCTCTTTTATCCCCCTTCAATGGAAGCCATCGTCAGTGGAGGTAAATGTCAACTCAGCGAGTGAATGTCATGCACACCTTTGCAATTGTTCCCTTGCCTGCATTTACAAGTAGACTTGTGATGTTATAGTGAAACCATCTTTGTAAGCCACCTTACATCCTCTCTGGCACACAGATGTTACTGTTGGATAGAAGGATGCATGGAAGGATGGATGGATGGATGAATGGATGGATGATTTAGACAAATAAAAGTAACTTTTGCTGTTAGAATTGAGTTGATCTTTTTGGAAAAGGATTTGGTTTTCTTTGACGTTATCAGGTCGACACCAGAAGGTAGATGAAGCGCAAAGCCTCCATTGATGATCTTTGATGATCTTTGGCAGAGCATGATAGGAGGGTCTTTTTTTGGTGAATGGATGACTGAAGTGATCACTTGTGGAGTATTTGTCTTTTGCTACTTATTTTTTTTCTAGCACTATGGCTTCATTAAGCTGTGGGTATTACGTAGTTCGTGTTTGGAAGTGGAGTGTGTTGAAGAGTGTGACTTCTAGCAGGCAGGCTCTTTGGGGCAGTCTTTCTCAGTGGGTCCTCTGGAGGTTGAGTAGTACGGCCTCCTGTCTGCTGTAAAGGGTTCCCTCCTGATCTGTGGCCTCCTGTGAACCTAGGAAGAGTAGTAGTAAAAACCCGGCCTTCAACATTTTTTGATTCTCTTGCTGAAGTCCTTTGCACTGAGAAAGGCCTTTCAGGGATGAAAAGAGGCTTGGGCTGTATCCAATTATTGAGCTCCCTGGGGTATTAAATAACCGCATTTGGAACTAACTTCTAGTATCTGCTTTAGCTGCTTCTGTCATGGGAAGACCCCAACCAAGAGGCTCCTGTCTGTCTGCAACCAAGCCCCATCCTTGTGTTTATTTCTTCCCCTCTTAGAAAGCTGCCCAGGGAAGCTGATCGAGATCCATGGGAAGGCAGGCCTGTTTTTAGAAGGCCAGATCCACCCCGAGTTGGAAGGAGTTGAGATTGTCATCAGTGAAAAGGGGGCGAGTTCGCCCCTGATCACAGTCTTTACTGATGACAAAGGTGCCTACAGGTGAGCCTGGGATAGAGACACATTTGCCTGGGATCAGCGTGGGAGTCCTCTGAAGAAACTGGGACCCACATTTCCTGGGGCTTGGTAAGGCTTCCTGTAGGATGTGAACAAAGCCGTTTAGCATTCTGCTTTCTCTTCTTCAGTGTTGGCCCCCTGCACAGTGACCTGGAGTACACGGTGACCTCACAGAAGGAGGGCTATGTTCTGACGGCGGTGGAAGGAACCATTGGAGACTTCAAGGCCTATGCCCTGGCAGGTGTAAGCTTTGAGGTAACTCACACTGTATTTTCAAAAGACAGTTGTATTGAGGTGTAATTAACATATAATAAAGTGCACAGAAAGGGTACAGTGTGGTAATCTTACCCTGTGAATACACCCATGAAAACACCTCCACAGTCAAAATAGTGAGCACATCCGTGAGCCTCAAGGTTTCCTCCTGCCCCTTGGTGATCCCTCCCTCCCACCCTTCCACTGAGCTGAAGATCTGCTTTTCATTACCATTGGTTAGTTTGCATTTTCGAGTTTTTATAGGTTGGTGCAAAAGTGATTGCGGTTTGTGCCCTCGAGAGTAATGGCAGAAACCGCAGTCACTTTTGCACCAACCTATATATAAATGGAATCAGACGGGATATACTGTTTTTGTTTTTGTTTTTGTTTTGTTTTTTTTTGGCCTGGCTTCTTTCACGCAGCATAATTTGGAGAGCTGCTGACTTCAGCATGCTAGTGTACTTTCTGGGAAGTAGCTGAAGCTCTTATCCATAACTGTTCCATATTGAAGGACACAGAATGTTCTCACTGAGGTGTTTGCCGCCTGGCTGCCTTCCGCCGGTCCTTCCTGGGAAGAAGTGTGCTGTGATTGTACAGAGTGGGTCTGGAGAGCGTTGAGAATGAATATTTATAAGCTATAGGCCAAAGGAAAAGAGTGACAGATTACATCGCATAAAAATGTAAAATTCTATATTGCTGAATACATTTGGAGCCAAACTGAAAGATACTCAAACTCGGAAGAAATGTTTGTATCATAAATGATATCCCCATTTTACAAGGAGCTCTTAAAATTGGTAAGAAAAAGACAGCCCGCTAGAAGAAAAATGAACAAAGGTTATGAAAAGGAAATTCATGGAAGTAACGCAGGTGACTAACAAATACAGAACCACGAAGCCTCCGTGGTTACTGATGAAATGTGCTAAGGAAACTACAGTCGAAACACTGTTTTGGGGGGATTAGATTTGCCATAATTAAGACAATCTCTATTTTTTGGTAAGCGTGGGTTTTCCCAAGCCTAAATAATTTACGGGACGGTAAGTGGTTATAGCCACTTTGGAATGCAATTTGATAGTATCTTTCTGAATTTAAAGTGCATGTATCCAATAATTTTGCTTTTAGGAATTGATTGTTCAGGAAAAAAAAAAAAAAAAAAAAACCTAAGTGCATAAAGATATATATTTGGGGATATTCCGATTGTCTCTTGTGTACCAAAAAAAAATAGGTGCTGTGGTTTGTCAACCCCTGCCTTAGAATGCTACGTGGTAGTTAAGAAACAGGCAGATTTCTACTGGCTGGCAGAAGAGAACCAGGATAAATTGTTGAGGAAGAGAGCAAGTTGCAGAACTGTACATGTAACATGCCATTTTTATTTCACCTCCTCCACCCACTCAATGAACTTGCCAGTCTGTGAACAGTACTACATAATGTTTATAAAATTTATGTGGGTATAGAAAGAGTTCTGGGCTGGGCATGGTGGCTCATGCCTGTAATCCCAGCACTTTGGGAGACCTAGGCAGGTGGATTGCTTGAGCCCAGTAGTTTGAGATCAGCCTGGGCAACATGGCAAGACCCGTCTCTATAAAAAAAATGCGGCCGGGCGCGGTGGCTCAAACCTGTAATCCCAGCACTTTGGGAGGCCGAGACGGGCGGATCACGAGGTCAGGAGATCGAGACCATCCTGTCTAACACGGTGAAACCCCGTCTCTA